TGTTTCGATTAATGTCTTAAACTGTTAGTTTGATATTACTTTGAATTTGTTTAATCTTAGACCTTAATTGTTGTCTCATTGATATTATCGGAAAATTTTACAAAAACAACCAAAAAACGGGAAGAGCTTTTAAAACTGTGAAATTCGGCTAAAAATGCATGAGGTTTACGTCTTACATCTCTCTCAAAATGTTGATGTAAAATGTATTTACCCAAATAGATATGACTGACTTTTTTCAAGGTCAAACGGTGTTTTACGAGCTTTTAATCCATCTTAAAGGTACACATGTTCAACAAACTTCATTGGTCTGCCACTCATTGGGGATGCTTGCATCAAACACACGATACTTTTCTGAAAACAGAGTTTTTTAGAAGCAAGTTTCCCGATATATAAGTTTAAACAAAATACTTTACATTTTAATATACTAGAAGGGTACTCGTGCAATATAACGAGATATATCTCGATTTTAATGTTTAATTTTTATTTTTTGTCTTTATCGATATAATTGGTTTTATGTGATTTTGAGAAATCAATTATGTTTTTATTTTTGAGTGAAATATAGATTTAGAAAAAAAAAAATATTAATATCAAAATTAATTATTTTATAGTCTTCACATGTAATGTCTTTAATTCAATTTTTTTTTTATAATTTAATTTAGATTTAGTAATAAAATAATTTATTTTTTATTTAATAATATAATTTTTTATAAAGATGATAATTAAGCAGTCTGTTAGATTTCAATGATTATTTTAATTATATTTTAGATATTTTATATTTAAAATTAGATATTTATCTTGTATTTGTTTATGTTTATCCGTAGTTAGTTACACAAATTTAAAAATAGAGCTTTAATAAGTTGTATTTACGCAAAATTGACTTGTAACCTTAAATTTTAAGTAATATGCAATAATAAACAGTACTTCATGCATATAAAATGATTTTTAAGAGTTTTTGTCAAATGCTTTATTATATAGTATAGATTTTGGTTTTAAGTTTATTTTAAATATTTAATAAATTAATTAAATAAGATTGATTATACTAATATATTCATCATAGTTTGGGGTCTTGAGACATTTATAAAGTCAAACATTAAAGTTTTCATATTCTTTTTTCTTCACCTACAAAATCTTCAATAAAGATTCTTTTATATGTTCAAAGTTATTTTTGAATTTTTTTTTGACCAATTTGGGTCTAGGACCGGACTTTTTACATGGAGAACGGTCGAATGTTTTTGGTGGGGACTGGTTACAAGAGGACGGTCTTGAACCGGAACCGATGTAGCTCCAGCCTGGCTCGTTCTTAAACCGATTTTTGATCATCTCTGATTATTACAATATATATAGTTCTTGTTTTATTATACCTTTAGACGAATGATGTGTGAAAATATGAGTTAAGATGAGAAACATAAAATGAATTTGGACTATTGATCACTTTTAATCTCATCTCACCCCATGAATTACGGGTTGATACAGGAATTGATCTGATACATCTGATAACTGTAAATCTTTAATCATATTTGATCAAAATGTGGAATTCATTTTTACCCTTCTCACCGTAACTTCCATTCAAGCAAGAACCAACCTACACCTTTATATATTATTGCTTTTAAAAAAATATACCAATTTAAATATATTTGAATTTTAACCAATAGCCATCTTTTCTTGATTCGTTAGCATGCTATCAAAGAATTTGAAATAATATATTTTTGAAAAATCTAAAAAAAATTCAATTGACTTGAGTCTTTGGAATGATTAAGTTTTTGGACAATTTTTTGAAATAAATAAGTTTTTGAACATTCAAAACCTGTTAAATAACTCTTTGGACTTTCTAAAACCTGTTAGATACATTTTTATAACCTATAAAACTGGTTGATGTGGTAAGATAATGAAAAAAAAGCTAATTGACTTTCATATTTTAAAAGATTAAGTCCCTAAATATTTTTTGAACAAAAAAAATATTTATATCTAAAAAATGAAACAAATATACTAAAAAATACTTACATTTAAAAAAGATTATCGATGAAATTTATTCTAATTAAAAATAAAATATATTATGTCAATAATTTTTTAAATTAAAAAAAATAGAAATTTAAAAAGGATTATTTATTAATTTTATTTTAATAAAAAATAAAATATATATTCCATATGTGATTTTTCAAAATAAAAAAGATTTAAAAAAGAAAACTGACCAGATTTATTTTAATTAAAAAATAAAATATATTTTATTGGTGATTTTCAAATTAAAAGAAAATAGAAAACAATTTGATTAAATTAGTGACGGTTTAACGATAAACTTTAATTAAATACATAACTAGTTAAAATTAGCCGTTAATCCGTCGGTGAAATGATACCACCGATAAGATTCAAACACGATCTTTTACACTTATTAACATGTTACTGTGTTAGAGAGTCTGACGTTGATCAAGTTAGCCCTCAATTAAATATAAGTAATTCATGCATATATACCAATGAACACTAGTGACGAATTTTAATTAATTATGTATTTAGTTAAATTTTATCGTTAATCCGTCAATAATTTAATCAATTTTTTTTTTTAATTTGAAAAAATACCAATGGAATATATTTTATTTTTAATTAWAATAAATTTGATTAATAATTCTTTTTTAATTTGAGAAATCGTATACATAATATATTTTCTTTTTAACTAAAAAAATTTAATCATTAATCCTTTTAAATCCTTTTTTATTTTTTTAATTTGAAAAATTACTGACAAGATATTTTTTTATTTTTTATTAAAGTAATTTTATCAATAATCTTTTTTAAAAGTAAGTACTTTTTGTAAATACAGGTACTTTTTTGATATATTTGTTTTATTTTATAGATGTAAGTATTTTTTTTGGTTCAAAAAATGTTTATAATTTAATCGTTCAAAAATATGAAAATTCATTGGCTTTTGCAGACGTTTTCAATTGTTTTACCACATTAACCAGTTTTATAGGTCATAAGGATTATCTAACAGATTTTAGTAAGTCAAATGAGTTATTTAACAAGTTTTGGAATGCCGAAGGGATTATTTTTTCCAAAAAATTGTTCAATAATTTAATCATTCTAAACACTAAAGTCCATTGGGTTTTTTTAGACTTTTCCCTATATTTTCTATGAATATTTAAAAAACGTATAATAAAATTATATGATATTTGTTACATTTACATTCAGGTTTTCATTACAATTGCAATTTTTAAATTTTATATTAGAATTATTTAATTCTTGAAGCTTATTATTTTAAATTAGAAAAATTAACTATCCACGTGTATGTAAAAACACAAACAATAAAGTATTTAAAACATTATATAATACCACAACAAATAAAAATGTATTTAAAATATGTGTAAAAAAAATCAACCAATCCATCAACACCCCACGTTTATTTCAACTTTAGAAATTTTATGATTTTAATGTGATATATATATATATATATATATATATATATATATATATATATATATAATTTAATTGGGGCCAGACTAGGGCCGGATTTTCCCACCCCACTTCGGATATGAAAATAAATCACCGTTCCGTTATGTTTCCTGTTCCAGATAAATTTTTCATCTCTAAAAAGAATATGCTAAAAATATATTATTTATAATTCTTAATACAAAAATATGATATCGAAAACTTTAACATACCATTATATTTAATGTAGCTTTCAGGAAATTATAAAGTACTAAGATTAAAAAAACATATTTTCAATTTTGAAACTAAAAATAGAAATAAAAAATAGTTAATTTGACCTAACATGGCCTCACCATAAGAAATTTAGAAGCATCGATTCTGATTTGGGTATAATTAGGCGACCAACCAAATGGCTTTGACTACAAAATGCTTATTTGAGTTTATCTCAAGAAATTAAATACTAGTTTTTAACATTCTAGTCGCATCAAGTTTCCTCGTATTCGAACTCTCTTAACTCGTAGGTAAATGAAGAACGAGCAAAATCTAGTAATCTAATGTAAAATGACAAAAATGCCCTTATTTAAGTTGATTTCGTAAAATTAAATATTAAGTTCAACACTCTAGTTGCATCACGTTTCATCACATTCAAACTCTCTTTGCTGGCAAGTAAACAGAAAATGAACGAAATCCCGTAATCTGGTATAAAATGACAAAAAAAACTTTATAGAATACAAGACGTCAATCAAATACGAGAGTACTTTTTCAGTCAAGATACAGGTATTCCTGTGAGTTCATGTGTAAAATCAGTTTGAATTGAAGTCAAGGGGCTGCTAAATGACTTTTTTGGTGGATGTTATGAGAAAAGTAGAGGGTCAAAGATGTAATTTATTCAACCTCTTACCATTTTGAAGTCAAAGAGTCCCCTGTACATTAGACCATTGAATATTTCAAACTTCAAACCAAAAGAATTAAAAAGTAAAATGTTTTTTGGTCTTCCAAGTGGTCCACAATGGCAATGGGTGGGTGGGAGGGATCATATCACTAGCATCCAACTTCTAAGTGTACCAAGGGCCAAAGTTGCCAAAAAGTAAAATCTAAGGGTTATTTTAACTGATAATAATATTTGGTTTTTCAAAGATTCTCCTTAAAAGTTACCGATTTGAGTCCTGCAAGGTTACTGTGATTTTTCTTGTCTGTTCTCTAGAGCCCTTGGGATTAACCCAAGTTATTACATCTCTCCATGACTTTTCTAGGATTGAAAAACCCATAGGAATGGCTGGCAAGGTTCTGGTCATACGACTTATTAATGAAGGTTAAAGGTGATGGTAGACTACATGATGGATATGTCTTCTTTTCCACCCATGCTCCAATTCAAAAGAAAAATGCTCCTAGAAACACAGCTTTTGAGGTGGTCAAATTGGTTTTCTCAATGGAACTTAATGGTTAAGCATATCAAAGGGTCGCCACTGAAAGTAGTTCAAGTCCCTCCAAGGGCCAAGGCTGCTAGGGATTTTTCTAACCATTCTCCAGTGCCCCAAGATCCTAGTCAAGTTATGCGTAGAGGCTAATCCAAACATCGTAAACAAAAAAAAATTGGATCTGTTTTACAGATGCAATTTTCGGGATATTTATATATGAAAAATGTACAAGTCTTGTATGGCTGAAAGTACACAACAACAACAACAAGAAGCAAACAATTTGCTCTATCATAATAACTTTACTACATTCACACAAACATATGCCATCAACATCAACAACCAACAATATTTACATTAATTAAGCTGCAGAAACCTCTCATGGTAGAGGATCTGAAGGTGAAGCACCAGAAGCCCTTGGATGCTTGCTTTCTTGCTCCGGTGCCAGATTCTCCGATGCAGCTCTCTTTGGTCTCAGCTGCAAACGTAAATGGAAAATCCTATTACAACTCAACAAGGGTAATCTTGTCTTTTTGCATTAGTGTGTGTATTCATGGGCATAAGTACGCCTATTTGGAAAGGGTAATCTTGTCCGTTTGCATTAGTATATGTACTTTTAGCTTTAAGATTGACAAGGCTGGGCAAGAGTGAGGTAGACGGGCGAATGTGCATGGTTTTTCGGGTTTTAATTTGACATGGGTAGGATTGTGCAAGTTATTTGGGAAGGGTATTCTTGTCTTTTTGCATAAATTCACCTATTTGGAAAGGGTAAACTTGTCCATTTGCATTAGTGTTTGTAATTCTTGGATGCCTTTGGTACGCAGATAGGACGGGAAGACTGAGGTAAGCAGGTGAAAGAAATAAGATTTTAGAGTATTAATTTGATACGAGTAATTTAGTAATTTTCCACCTATTTAGGTGGGACAATTAAAAAAATGCATTTTGGTATCGCTCAAGGGTTGTTTGGTTACTTTTTATCAAGTCCTGTATGAATAAAGCTGTTTGTATGGATTAATTTGTCTGTAGAGATTGAGTAGGTTTTTGTTTGGGACTTGGGAGGGATTTTTCATAGATGGAAGAAGCGTGTTTTTTATTGGGAGGGAAAGGTAGGGAAAATACTTTGTTTTTTGCATAAAGCTCCCCTTTAAAACCTTACTGAATGAGTCACTTTCTATATCATTAAGCCACTACCAAACAATCATGTATAGCTGACTGAATAAGTTACGAGTCCTATTAAGCTGCTAACAAACAGACCCTCAGTCGATCCCATAGTCTAAATGTTGCAAAAACGTGGGCCAACAAGTTTTTGTTTATGATGTCTTATCCCACATACCGAACACATCATAAACACCCGAGCGTAAATATGTCTTTTGAATCAGTGCATGTATATTTATAGACAAAATATGCTAACCCGAGGAGGGCAAACCTGCCTTTTGCAAACAGCGAACGTATTTTTAGGCATAAATCATAAAAATCATACCTTCTCGTCACTGCGCTGATACAATTGCCTCAGTAGTATGTTTTTGGCTTCTGAAGATATTACTGCAAAAAAAAAAAAAAATCATATCAAGAGCACAATGCACACAAAAAACAGTCAAAGCCCAATGGCCCAAATGTGTACTTTTAATATTTTAGAACCCCAAAAGTTAGGGCTTCTCATCTAAATCAAAGTGTGGTTTGATCCCTCCTCTTCCTCTAAGCAATCAAAATTTCCACATCCTCTCGACCTATCTCACGGTTTCACTCTTTCTTCTGTCAAGAACCACTAAACCAATGCCGTTGGTAGTTTAGTGTTATATATATTGTATATAAATGTTATATATATTTTGTGTAGTATATATACATATTTTGGTGTGTATATATTTACGCCTTGGGCCGCCTCGAGACTTACGCCTTTTAAAACCTTGATGGTACTTTCTTGAAGCATACAACTTCCAAGTTAGAAACTTGAACCAAGAGAAATTTTCAAGGGACCATCTAGCACAATCACATCATGGGAGCTTTCATAATCCATAAAACCAAGTAACAGATAAAACGTTGATCTAGACCGTGTGAAAACTAAAAATGGAAAAACAAGAAACTGTGAGATATGATTACGTTACCTTGGTCAGGCGGTGGAATAGTCCGTTCATGAGTTGGATGATATGTAATTGGTGTCTTCTTCTGAACAAAATAAGAGAACATTGCTTGCAGAGTTGAGAGAATCATCATAACATGAATGGCATAACATGCAAAAGATGAAATTATTCTTCTCCCCCTATCTTATCAACTTCTTGAACAAGTGTTGAATATTGAGCCTTATTCAGATTGTAAGCCGGTTAAAACAGTTGGAAAACAATGACAACAAGTTGTTTCATAAAGTTCACAAAAAACTTACAAAAAGAATGAGAAAATGATAATGCATCCAAAATGGAATATTTACAGACATAAAGTGCTGTGGAATATGGAACTCTAACTTCACCTGAAATTGTCGCTTTCAAACCTTTACATATTAAAACGGTAAAATCATAGCAGAACTGCCTTAGCTAAGTGAAGGATGTATGAGAGTAGACAGAAGAAGGATGAAAAAAAGGAACTAGACCGACGTTCATGAAAGATATCTCATCTAAAGGTTTAATGATTACAAACATATTCGATGAATACCAGAAACGGGCTACTTGCTTCTAAATGAGAACTTAAAGATAAAGCGGAAAACTCCCAAATACCAACAACGCATCATATTTTGCTTGTAAAAAGCTAAAGCTAGACCAACAATATCCATATCATTCCATACATCAATTTGCAAATAAGTGAAAGGTTGGTAGCATCAAGAACAATTCTATGAAGAAATGTTTTTGGGGATTGTCGTAGGTTTGCAACTACGCTTTTCCCCAACACATAAATTGCCTTCCTTGGCTTGTTAGTCGTCAGTGTCATAATAAAGCCAACATGACAACATAGCGTATTTAACGTATAATCATAGAGATAATCCTCCAAAGCAATAAACCCAAGGCTTGGCTTAAGTTTACAAGTTACAACTATGCCTTTTTTAAACCTTTATGTATTATAGTCCTCTTAATCGGCTCTTCTAGCCGTAACCTCCTTGTGATGTCATTAAACTACCCTAGTAGCATAAATATCTTACACTCCTAAAGTTTTCGTATATATGAACAGAAGCCACAACAATATAGCCAGATAAAGTACACGTAATACAACTGTTATCTATTGAAAGAAGACATATCTCTGTTTATATGGTCGAAACATGTTGTGTTGCATTTAGCCATTTGCACTCATAAAAGGACACTACTTTGATCCACCATTTGTTGCATACCCCCATAAGATGCTTAAGTGAAGTACATTGAAAATGCATACATTCAACAAGATACCTACACACACAAAAAAATGCAATTTCTATAATCTTAATCTCAAGTATTCCTAAATTTGCACATTGTGGTGTTTGGTGCATAAGGTGAAAAATAGCAAGAACCACAAAGAACAAATATCCAATGGCCATTGACCCAGCTGGTAATAAGTATCTTGTGCTAATGATCATGAGTTCGAAAATCTTCATGGTATGTGAAATTCTTAAGTGTGTCATACAAAACAAGAGAGAAAAGTTCCACTCGCACCATCGAATAGCTCTATACGTTTGAATGACACATCACCAATTTTAATAAGAGAACTTGACAAAAATAGCCAATCAGCAAATAGGGTTTCACTTTTTAACTATTTTCTTACCCAAATTCACTTTTTAGTCAATCCTTACGCAGAAGGCTTACACGTATAAAAATAATAAGAAGAATCCTTACGCAGAAACCTTATACATATGCGTAAGAATTCTTTATCTTTTTTTGCCGAAAAATCCTTAGCATGTGTGCAAGCCTTCCACATAAGGATCGGCTAAAAAGAGAATTTGGGTTAGAAAATGGCTAAAAAGTGAAGCAACCAATCATCATTGGCTATTTATGTAAATTTCCCTTTTAATAATCCGATTTCCACAAGTTGTAAAAAACAACACTCATAAGTAAAAATAGATGTAAAAACAGTGCACTATCACCATGCTTATCACAGAAAATCAGCAACTTGTATACCCAATAAGCCCCAAAACCATTCAATTAAAACATTCCCATCACCAATCTCTAGCAATTGGCAAATCCCTCACTAAATCGCAGTGAATGAATTGAAAATAAATAACATTCAGTGAATGAATTGAAAAGAACAAAGAAACCCTAAATTAGATTTTAGTCTAACATCTTCGATAAACTACACACAATTCAAGAAGTAACATCAACGCAACACACAATTTAGAAGTAACATCTTCTTTCAAGGAAAACCAACTGATGCATATAATGAGGGGTGAATTGGGCATGAAAATCAAAGGTCCAATTGGTAACATTTTTGAGTGAAATTTGTGGGGTTGTGATTAAGATTAGTAGAAAAAGACGGAAAATGTGGTGGATGAGAGCTTACGGAGGGAGCAGAAGGATCGTTGGGGCGAAGTTGGCTGAAGTTGTGGGGGTCGAAGGAAGGCCAATTACCAACAGTCCACGACCCCATTCAATTCGATTACGAGAGATTTCTCAGCCCCGATAATCGCAGTTTCTGGAGATCAACAGATCGGGAAAAAGATTGCTGATTTGCTGCTGTTTATGTCAAGGAATACCATACGTTTTTGTTAAACACGACTCGTCTGTCTTTTTTTTTTTTTTTGTGATGGGAATGAAGCGAATACACGGTGATTTTAATATTTTATTTTATTTTTTTATTTCAATCGATGTTATAATATAGTTTTATTTGATTTTGAGAAAACGATCATGTTTTTATTTTTAAATAAAATATATGTTTGAAGATATTATAAAATTTTGACAAAAATATATCGAAATTAATATCAAATTAACAATTTGAAATTCCTCATTTTTTTGTGTAATTTTTTTATTCAATTTTTTTATAATTTAGTTTATATACAATAACGAAGTAATTTATATTTGGTTTAATAATATAATTTTCTTAAAAATATAATAATTAATTATTTTGTTGGAACTCGATAATTATATTAATTATATTTTAGATTTTTTATATTTTAAAATGAGATGTTCATCATCTATTTGATTATGTTTATCCGCAGTTATTTATACGAATTCAAACATCGCGCTTTAATAAGTTGTATTTATGCATAATTACTTGTAATCTTGAATTTTAAGTAATATGCATCAATATACAGTACTTTATGCATAATAAAAATATATCGATATTCGTATCAAATTAACTATTTATAATTCTTTATTTTTTTATAACTTTTTAATTCAATTTTTTATTATAATTTAGTTTAGGTACAATAACGAAGTAATTTATATTTGATTTAATAATATAATTTTCTTATAAAGATAATAATTAATTATTTTGTTAGTAACTCGATAATTATCCTAATTATATTTTAGATTTTTTATATTTT